GATTAACATACTTTCTTTTGCATCTAATTAGGGTTTAAACAGTCGTTCAACACAAACAGTGGCATAAGAAAAAGAGTAGAAGTAACTACTATATTACATTAAAATAAGAACCAAACCTAATAAACATTTCAAGGAGGAGAGATGATGCAGTAAAAGGGTTACAATAAGTCATATTTTCCAACAGTTCTGACAAAATTTCGAACGCCGTGATGACGCCATTCGTTTGATTGGCATTTCAGTTCTGGCTGGTACAATCGGGCCCAAGTCTCATCCAGCGTAATCATACGGCATAAAAAACTCCTTCGTGCTCCAGGTGAGTTCGAACAGTATCGTATCGTAGCATTTCTGCATTTCCGTCAATTGATGTGGAACCCATCGTGAAGCAATTTTTCTCATGGACAGGCGTTCCTTCAGAATGTGCAGCACAGTCGTATGCGCTAATCCTGTTTGTCCGGCCAGCTGACGAATCGTTTGGCGGCGATCATTGGCCATTAGTGTGGCAACAGCTTGCCCGTCTGCATCGCTCTGCCACGTTTTGCCATCCTTCACTGAATGCTTTCACCCATCTTGCTACAATTCTGTAAGGCTATGCAGATTCCTCGCAAGCCTCTTGAAGCCCTTGATGACACTGTCGTGCTGTACGACATCTGGCACATTAAATTTTTATCCAACATCGTTGTTCTTGTTTTGAAAACATCCTGACAACACTTACTTTAGACCGCGAGCTAATACAAGGATCCGTTCTTCGCGTTACTCCGCATACGCGTGACATACGCAGGATGAGTCTTTTTGCTGAGAGGTAAGGTAGGTATGTAGTTCACGTGTGGTATACACGATATTCTTTGGTTTTGTTGCATAGTGTTTTTTCAGCTGTGTTGCCACTATTAAAGTTCCAACCCTCGTAGTTTGAAAATCAGTACACATTTAAGTTTCATACCATAAATCTAGAAATACTTCTACAGGTTTTGAAACTTGTATTAGACTAACAAAGCTGTTTTTTCAATTTTTTAAATAATGATTTGGTCGATCTTTGGATTATGGTAACTTGGCGATTTTTTGGCGACCAACTCTGTTTTTTTTCTTTGCTGCCATTTTGTCTTCATGAAGTAAAGACATGTTTCTTTTCTTTTTATTTACTCAACACTTTTTCCAACAATCTACTAGCCGAATTACACTTATGCTAGAAATTTTCTGGAACAAAACTGCTTAATCATGACAACTATTAACTGCAAAATTGGGAAAAAGTGTCAGAATCGCAAACTTCTTGCCACGTTTTTCAGAATCGCACATACACAGTAAACCATGTACACATCGACTTATTTTTACTTAAAAAAAAACATCCCAGAATTGCACAAAAATGGCATTACGCACACTCTTCACTATATCCATGTACACTGCTTTTTTTCTCAGAATAATTAGAAAAATTTCACGAAAATGCACGAAATTTTGTGAATCTTTAAATTCGGTAAAAAAGACATATATGAAATTACCTGATCACAAAAAAGTATATACCCTTCCAAAGATGAACATTTGCACGTATAAAATAAATAAAAAATATCCAAAACTTTTCCCTCTAAATTATCTATTATAAATCTCACCTACCAATTTCTAACGCAAAACATTAAAATGGTTCCAAATACTTAAATTCTTTCCATGCACATTTACTTCTACTCAAATGTATTCCAAAATACTACAAACATATTAAATTAAAATATAATTAAATTAAAAAAACACTACTTAAAATATAAATAAGCACATACATTAAATTAATAAAAATTAGCTTACAATTCTAATTACTTGAAACTAAATCATTGCTAATAACAATTTTCCAATAATAATACCATATTAATTTACCGTATTTATGCGAATCTAATGCGCATCCCCATTTTAAAACTTTAAATAATAAAAAAATTGTTTGTCGGCGAATGTAATGCGCATCAATGATATGAGGAATTTATTGAATCTTATTTTATACAACAATGGATTTGTATATAAACTATCAATTAATGGTATGATAATTTTATTTAAATTTAGATACCATATTTTATACAACAATGGATTTATACATAAAGCAGCAGAACATAGAATTAACCTATTAGTGGGCTATTGTCATGTGAAACAATCATTGTTAATTAGCACTACCGTATATACGGTACCTATCGTAAAATATGAACATGAAATAAATCGTAACATTTCTATCTAGCTAACAGTTTCTACAATCAGTGATTAATAGTAAACGTCTTTATTCACTAATGTTTTCATCACTGGAATCCTCGCAGCTCTCTTCGTCAGAAGCAGATTCATTTCTTCTTTCCTCATCATCGTCATCCCATCCTCGGCGTTCCAGAGCACGTCATCGTCACTGCCATTCAATGAATTTGAAATGCAGCATTTCTTGAAAGATTTCACAATCATTGGTGCTTCGATGCTTTTCCAGGCAGCAGAAACCCAGTGTGCAACAATGTGCGGTGCAGCACGCTTAATTTTTCCTGTCGGGGTCAATACACGGTTTGGCTCACAAAACCATTTTTCATTACTCCGCCTGAACGTACCCCTTAAAAAGGTTTATTTATACTAACGTCCAGGGGTTGTAACACAGACGTCATCCCTCCAGGAATGATAACAAGATCACTGCCTAGGCTGTGCATCTTCTTTTTACGTCGTCGGTGAGATGACCACGAAATGCGTTCAGACAAAGCATTGATGGTGGATTAAAAGAGCCCACCGGGACGGCGTTTCCATACATTTCGGAGCCAATCAAGCATTAATGATTCCGTCATCCACCCCTTCTCTTGGTTTCGAATCAGGACATCATCTGGGAACAGCTTTTCATTCTTAGGGGTTTTAGGGCATGTTTTCCGTTTGAAGATTAAGAAAGGGGGAAGTTTGCACCCGTCTGCTGTTATTGCCAGCATCACTGTTACGCGTTGTTTTTCACATCCCGAAGTTTTGATGATAACTTCCTTAGTCCCCTTCTCCGTAATGGTTGTAGTTACGAGGCATATCAAACCAAATTGCCGTCTCGTCAGCGCAGCGTTGCCAATTTGCCCCATTGAAAAATTCTTTTTCCTTCCGAAGTGTGATGACATACCGCTGAAATGTAAGTAGTAGTTTTCCCTCAAAATCTGCAGGAAGCTTTTGGCATATTGTTGTATACGGCGTCTTAGAGATAAACCCATCCGCTTCATAAACCGATCCACCCATCCACGGCTAGCCTTAAACTCTTGTTTCGGTATTCCAAGAACTTCAGCCTCCTTTTTTGCTTTATTTCTTATGGTGTCACTAGTCACAGGTTGTCCATTCTTCCTCCTTTCACGTACAAATTTCAAAACGTTTTCTTCAATTTTAGGGTGTCTTTCTTTGCGAGGTCCAGTGAATTTCTTTCTACTAACTTTAGTTGCAAACAGTGCCAATTTCTGTTGCCGCCACAAGCGAACATTGCTCTCAGCTACGTTGAACTCTCTCCCTGCCTTTCTATTGCCATTTTTTTCAGCATAAAGAATTACTTTATGTTTGAAAGTAGCGTCACATGACATTCTTCTCTGTTTGCCCTACATTTCGTGACTACGTACTCTGCAGTTTGTATCCTCTATGCAATAATGTGTCAACGATAAATGTAACGGTAAATATAGTCGTGAAATTTGGTTGACGTCATCGGCGAACTTTGCACTCGAATCTAATGCGCACCCCAATTTTGAATATTTTGAATACTACATTTGGCCAAAAACGATGCGCATTAGATTTGCGTAAATACGGTATTTACTCCTTACATTTAGAACAATGCATAAAAATAATATTCTCAAATAACTAAAAATACTAACTTAACCAATCTTCTACAGAATCTTGAGTGCATGGCGGATCACAAAATGTCCATTTTCACCAGATTTCTTGCACCACCATTCAAACTTATCTGTAATATCCTTCCTTTCACACAATCTCATTTCATACCCACATGTTGGACATTCATACTTATCCGCAATTAAGCAATTCTTTTCAATTACACATAAACGCAATAAAAATTTCGGATTTACTTTATATAGGGCCATGGGATCCAAATATTAAACAACACTGTTTCACAGAACATAGAATGAAACTAATGCTGTACAGCAGATATTTTTACAAATTTACCCCCTTTTCCGATTAAAGAACAGTGATTCGTCCATTAATGTCACATGACATATCTCATGGTCTCTCATTTTCCTCACACAAAATAATGCGTAATCGGAACTGAGTACTTCTCACATTATTCCCAAAGTCCTAGGTAGTAACCTTTATTGCCTCCAAAATCTCGCCAAACTACCTGTTACCATATTCCAAAGATCAGCCCATGATTTTAATAGAAACTACAATGGTCTTTATCATGAACCTCTTTTTAAGATTTAAATTTCTCATGTTGAAGGTTAAAGGACTGTATCCTAGCAGAGCCCACACCCTTGGTGGGAATGATTTTGATTATAGCGCATATCGATGTGTACATGAATAAAGGGAGTGTGCAATACCAAGTTTGTGAAATTCTCTTATTTTTTTTTTTTTTTAAAGTGAAAATAGGTTGATGTGTACATGGATACTGTGGTCATGCAATTCTTCGACTTGTTATTTTCAAGTTGGCGATTTTGAGAAACGTGCGAAGCAGTGCGCACTTTCCCAGTTTATCACCAAGAGTAAAGGCTCTCCTAGGATTTTATCAGTTGAAGAAATCGACCCCTTCTGAAACCATGAAGAGAGAGCAAACTAAGCTTCAGGTAAGAATATCCGAATTAACTATGTAAGTGTCTAAGCAATAAAACAAAAAAATTTTGGGAACTCTTCTGTTAGCAGAACCAGATTCAGAAATGTATGTACGTAAGCACATGTGGATACACATACCTCCATATATGCATGCATATATTTCTCAATCCAGTCCTGATAACAAAGGAGTACCTTATTTCCCTCACCCTTATTAAGCAAAGGATGCACAAAACATAAATGATCAAAAACAAATTTGGTCACAATTTACAAATATAATTTGCTATATTTCAAATACTATGAATTACTGTCTCACTTCTCATGTTACATACTTCTTTAAATAGGACCCTATCTGGAGTCTGATCTGGTTCAATGTCATCAGTTCGAGGATTAAAACCTCCAAAGGCATACACATTGCCTCCATTTGCAACAATACGGTGTCCACTCCTAGGTTCAGGGCATCCGATTCCTGAAATGCAGACATCAGCAAAAAAATCATATATGTGCAAATAGCAAAATGTGCTAAATAAAATAAAAACGAAACCGAAACCAAAAAGCAATTAATTTGCCTGAAATATCGATTCATTTATACATTCTGCATTATTATAAGTGTTCAACTGCATAATATAAAAATAAGACTGACAGAAAAGTTGATACACTACCTCGACGCTGATTTCCCTTTGGCTCTACTTTTACAATTTTATTCACACAAAATTTAAAAAGGCGTTGTTTCGTTCTTGGCTTATAGCGCAAACTTTCATTAAAGGACTCCATACATATAAATAACTATTTAATTTTCATAAATCTGAATCTAACTCATGAAACGTCGAAAACATTCATATACAAGTAAATTTCTTCAACGTGCAAATACACATTTACACTACAGTTTTAACAGCTGCAAAAGTTTTATTTACTTCACTTCAATCCTAACGAATAGAATCCTGCAATCGTTGGTATTTAATAATAATTAGAAAGCATTTCATTGTTAAACTTTAATTTCTTGGTATTCCGGTGGCCATTATCATTTAAAATACTCATGAGAAATACAATACAGTCATCTATATTGGCTGCATGCTGCATGAGAATATTAAATATGTCCGAAAATTTAAATTTGTACATTTTTCTTTGATAAAATTTGGCGTTGTGTATGGCAACATGCGTATTTTGTTTACATAATAGAGGTAAGAAACGCGAATTAACTTTTGGTTAAAAGACGAATACCAAATTAAATATATGAAATTAGACTAAAAAATAACCTTAATATGGCATATATTTTATACTAACCTCTATCGCTTTTGAGGCGACTGACATAGGTCTTTTTAAAAGATCAAGAATGTTTTGGGAGTCTTTAAGAAAAGGGTTGCCGTCCTGGAAAGCTGGTATATGTATATTATAATTGAGGAAAATCCCAAGAACTTCATATCATCATCATTTTTGCTTAGCTTAGTAATGCTGTACGTCAAGTTTTACATTACATATAGTATATCAGGTAATCTTTCACTTGATAGATCCAAAAAAATTTTGTTTGGTTCATTGTTAAACAATAACTTTTTTAAATGTATATTGTTACTTTTACGCAATGTTATAAAAAATTGACATTGATACAAATAAAATCAGATAATATAAAGTAACCTAGCGTCTTTCAGACTTCAAGACAGGAGATGAATAGATGTATTTATATGTGAATTTCTTATTTTTCAAAGAAAATTGTTCATAAAATGCAAGCTTTTCAATCTGTTGTATATTTTATGTGTTGCATGAACCATAAACCCTTCATATAATTGAAGACTGAAAATTGATAAATTAGTTTATTTATTTATTTTTTATTAAGCCCGCTATTGCCCGAATAGTAAAGTCATTGAACACTGGTAGTTTGGTGTGGGGTTCCAGTCCCAGCAAATGGGCTGGGTGCATGGACGTGTTCATGGTTTTTTCCATGTGTAATGAGCCAGTTAGTCTTAGAAAATTCTCCACGAAGGCACCCTTCCTCTTGGTCAAGTCAAAATATTTTTTCTTTTATATCAACCACTAGCTTAGCAGTTGTAGCTGTGAAATACTGAAAGTTTGTGGATATTTAGTAATTATTAGCAGTTAGGCCCAGTAGTGCAGTGGATAACGCGTTGTGCAGCAGCACCACAGGTCCGGGGTTTGATCCCCAGACTGGGCAAGGTTGACTCAGCCTTTCATCCCTTGAGTGGGGTCCATAAAATGAGTACAGTACAAAGTCCCTAATCTGGATTCGTCAGGACTTTGGCGATTCTGGATTACGGGTGTTTCCGGATTATAGATCATCAATTTAAATCTGGTAAGATGGCATGCAGAAATTATACAATTAAAAATATGAAACCGTAATTTATGAAATAAAGAGCAATTATGATCTAAAGATTATCAAATTTTTACAAAAAAAAAGCTTAATATTTATTTGTTTACTTTATTAAACATGTGCGCGTAATGTATGCACATTCTCTACCACATGGGTAAAGTTTGTGGCTTTGAAGTCCGGATTATAGATCATTCCGAATAATGGACATCTGGATTACAGACTTTGTACTGTACCAAGTTTGCTTGGAGATTAAACACTGGGGGGGGGCTGGTACTGCGACAAACTGACCTATTATTCAGGGCATATGCTCACACACCCCAGGGCTCATAGTCAGTAAAGCAGATATCAGGTTAGTGCAGGCCGTAGCCCACTATAGCTGTTGCGGCACTGATTTTAGTTTAATTATTGGAAGTTAACAATAATGAGAACTTTTAAAATCCAATGATTTCATTTTCAATAAATGGTATCGGAGATATTTAAAAGTGTATTTTAAAGAAGTAATTAGAAAGTGAGTAAAATGTCTATTTATCATACCTTCTTTGTAAATATTTTAAAATTTCGTCTTTTTGTTATGAAAATAAAATTAAATAATTGTTACAAGTCAGTAATTACTGATTTACTCATAAAAAGAAAAACCTAACAGGTGACAGTTATGAGTAGCAATAAATTATCAGTTTCACTTTATTTTCTAGTGTCTGAGTCAGTATAACCCAAATGCACAAATCAAGTTCCCCCTTTCCCTTTGTCTGCTCACTGCCCAACTGCACGAGGTTTTTCCATTTGCTTTCCAGAGAATTTTAATGACCTCATTCTGAAAAATACCCAAATACCCCTCCCTTTCAGCAAGCTGAGGGTTGCTATGTAGTTTTACTTTTCAGAGCCAAAAACAGACAACAGGGGAAAAAAAAATAAAGGAATAGGATTACATATCACTAGAAAAAGTAAAGAATATCTAATAAGCAGGCTAATTACTTAAATAATAGTGGTAAATGCAAGAACTAGCAGCAAAAATAAAAGGTATTAGTAAACACACAGATTAGCAAAGGAAACACATTTCAATAATTACAATACTAGAGTTAATATTGTTATAATAGTATTCTAAGTTAGATAAACATAAAGCATATGAATTATAGTTCTCATAAATTTCATCTGTTAATAAGACTATCAATTTAATATCTTTCTGTGATAATAATAGTCATGGTGTCTAAACTAGACTGAAAAATTTAATATAGTTACCTGGCATGTGAACAATTATTTGCTACTATGGTTTTGGAATAAGCATTTTAAAGGATAGTACTTGGTACTTTCAGAAAAATTCCAGCATAAACATGTTAAGCAAATTAGATGCAAAAATAATTCATAATTTATATCCATATAAAGTTCTCTGTGTTTGGAAACACATATGTATAATTTGCACCAAGAAACTGAGTTTATTGCTTTACTTAATATTTTCTTATTAATGGGATTTGCGAAGAGATAACGCCAATGTAACGGGAAAATTTATCAATGAATAAAACTTTGCAGTATTTTTAAAGATTATTTTTAAAAAATATTTTTACTTCATAAAGTCAAGTTTTTGCAGTGCATTTTTTCCATATTAAATATGTGCAGAGAAAGAAATAGCTAGGGTTTCACTGTGATTTGAAATTCCAGTGGAACTGCCAATGTTTAGTGACCACCTGGTCAGAAGACCATTTGAAATTGGGCTGATCATATGCTATATGTTGAAAAATATATTAAAGAAAATACAGTATTCGTAAACATGAAAGTATGCTGAATTATAGATTTACATGTTTGGTAAATGAGTTAAACTTATCTAAATGTATCTATATGAAATATTAGTAATATAATATAAAAGCATCAGTGAAGAAGGAAATGGCAATTTAACCGCTTGCCTAATTATCCTGAGTTATCTCGTGTTCATATTGTTACATTTTTTTCTTTTCTTCTGACACCAGTTGTTATGTTATTTTCTTGCTTCACCTTCGTACAGGGTTCATGTGCATTTGGAGTGAATAACGATGACACTTGATGAAGTATCCAAACACACTTTATTTAGTAAATTTTAATCAGGACAGCTTGAAAGTCACGTTTAACAGTCATCGAACTGTTATAAACATGCTGACACAATCACACAGCTTTCAGGTAATCAAGCTATCACGATGAAGACAGCTCTGTAAAGCACCAGAGTGCAGCTTCTGACTCTGATTGGTCGTGCTCGAAACTCCACGTACTCTCGAGACTCTCCATGCTACAACTCGCGATGCACTCGACGACATGCAGAGCACAGCTCCTGACACTTCGGTTCAGTCGTTCCTGGAGCTCAACACTCTCTCTCGACGGTGCACTAAGAGACTCTTTCTGTGCATTCGATGACCCACTCGGCACTCGCTGTCCGACTGTCAACTCAATTGACTCCGCAGGGGTTGACTCGCTAGACAAGACACCAACTCGATACTAACTCCCTCACACTCCAGACGAGGCACTCTGACTCGCCCTCTCGATGAAGCACACACACTAACTGACTGCGGACCAGCAGGGTTTATATAGCTTTAGGCCTGTGTTCGAGAACATTCTGGGCTAAACCGGTAAGAATTCGTTCCAGAAGGTTCTCCATCCGTCCATGGCATGTCGCCAAATGGGCGATTTCTCGCCAAATGTGGCAACCCTGCCTTCCCTTGCCATTTTATGGCAACCCTGAAACTGTTTTGCAGGGAAGCCATCTTACCGCGCCTGTACATTTCATAACAATGCTCCCTCCCAAGGACTGCACGTCCCGCGAAGTAAAACCCTTGGTCAGAAGCCAAATTCGATACAATCTAAACATAATAAAACAAACAAACAACATAACTAAAGAAAGAAATATTTACACTGTGTACAAGTTATATACACAAATTAAACACATAACAATTTTAAATTATACAAATTAAAGTTCTGAATGAATTTCAGTCTCAGTCTTTTCATTATTTATACCTGGGTCAAATACTTTTCCACTGCGGTTCTCAGATGCATTTCTGTTTTTCATGTCACAGTCTGAAGATTCGGTCCTTTCAGACTTTTTATCCAATGGAAGATCTAAAACAGTTTGTTCACTACTCTGTGTTTTATTCGTGTCATGTATACAATTCAACTTGGCATTTTTAGTAGATGGTGCATGCTTATTTTCCTTCGTTTCCTGGGAACCAGCTCCAAATTCTGTATCAGAATCATGAATGGAACCCAATTCTTCACAAACACAAGTATCCAGGTTTAGAGTCAAATTCCTGTCTGCATAATCAGCACTATGAATCGCACACATAGTTTGTGAGATGGGTGAATTTTCTTGCGATACTGGAGCACACTGCTTCAGCTGTACATCAACTTCTTCAATCTCAACATCACATGAACTTTCAGATGGTTCAACACTTGCTAATTGTGTTTTCATAACTTCACTATTAGTTTCGAAGAACTTAACAGTCACATTTTCACTTTCTTCCATTTCCACTTCAGGCGCTTGAGAATCAGAAGCTTCTTTCCCGTCTTTTATTTCTTCATGATTTCGTTCTTTTTCTTTAGTCCCGTTATATTTCATCGATCATTCCTGGATCTTTCT